AGCTTCTTGTCATACATCTACTGTAATTCGCTTCTAGCCTTAATCGTTCCGAGTGGCGGCATTGTGCGTGATCAAGTCACGTTGGAGTGATCTCGGCCTTTGGCGATGCAACGTTGTTGAAAGCAATTGACTGGGAAAGATTGCCTCAACAGTGAGTTGTGATCACGACGTATAAACTCTAAACTCTCAACACTATCTGAACAGGATGGAACTCCAACGGAAAAGCCAGAAGCTTAGGACACAGCGGTTCGAGGCCTCCGGCTGTTTATATAAGTAGGTCCCAGTTACGTCAACCCAGCGTTACCACAGGAGTCTTCTGAATTCAGGACCCCTAAGGATCCCAGTCACCTCAGGCCCTAAACAAAACCCAAAACTTTCCCTGAACACGAAAGGCGAACCAGCACGCCCTCCCGACCATCTTTTGTTGTACAAGTGTCTCGAACTCTGCGAACAAGGCCAGAGCACACGTCCATGCATTTCCTGGAAGCGGATCAGGGAAGGGCCACTACCCCTTGATCCAGGTGTACAGCCATTCAGGGCCTCGGGATGGGGTTCATTCGGCCTCTAACGCGATTTATGGAACGTCCTTACATGAAAGCGAGGCGCTGCTAACCCCAATTTAACAAATACTGACCCTGTAGTGCCCTGTATATGTACACTGCACAGGCATCTTCATGCAGGTTTGCGACGGTGAGGCTGGGTGGTTCCGTCGACCAAAATCGGGTAATGGTATCGAAAAAGAAAGGCAGCAGCAATTGGAGAGATCACGGTGGCCCAAAATCAGAAAGACTGAAACCTGCTTTATCAAGCCAGCCCACACAGCCAGCAGCATGTAGTTAATGAAAATGATGATATCTGAAAATGTCAAAATGCGAAGCCTGGATAAGACATTTGAGCAGATTCCTAAATGCATGGGTATAGAGTGGCTACAACGATGTTGCCTTGTCATAGCTTGGGAGCTTATAAAGCAAGGATGATAGGCTGGTTTGCAACACAGTAAGCCCCATAGCCCTTAACCCAACACGGAAAAATCTTGTTATCATATTAAGATGCCTTTTATATATAAAATGTACTGGTATGCACATAAAAAGTTATAAAGGTGTGTATGTATAAATTTATGTTGTGCTAAACGAAGACATAAACCAATCGACAAACATGTATATACGTAAATGCACAAATATGTATATATATATATATACATATGCAATCTGGAAAATATCTATATGTCTATATGTATTTAGACAAAAATATGATTCATGTCCTCCACCGATTATTAAACCGCACCCTCCCAAATATCAAAATCCGATTGTCCCCATTTCGGTTTCAGGATTGGGAGGTCCAGCTTTAGCATCTCCCCATTGCTCGGTGCTTTGTTTAAAGGCCTTCCTTGGACAGGTCGCAAGCCCTCGAGTCCTACGTTCCTTTGGTTGCTGCAAATTTCAGCCAACTCAACCCATACGTTCTACTCGATCTTGCAATCGTAAAATTTCGGATGCTGGGATTATACCAACTTAAACTCCACGTTCTAGTGTGTACTCGATCTTGCACTCGTACAAGTTTCGGGTGATGGGAGAATCTTTAAACATAATTCAGAGAGAGACAATGTCCATACAGTTATGAGTCCCAACATGTCCCAACCTCTAGCCGTGAAGGCTCCCTAATGCATACACACTATTGTGCTTCCCTAAAGCTCCGGTGTATCGCGCTGTCTGTGAAGGTGCCGGCTGCCGAGTCTTCGTTCAGAGAAAGCAGCTAGACGGGAGCGACAGGTCTACGAGCGCGAACGATACCGGCGACGAAGACGAGGGATCCCAGAAGCAAAAAAAGGCGGCGATACATGCTAAGCCATAAAGGGTTTTGGAAACCGGTGCCATCAAACAGATCCCAGTTGCACAAGAGTTCAGGGGAGTGGCATGTTGGGTTTAGGGCTTATGGTTTAGGGTAGTGTGCCGGGGATGTGGATCGTTGTCGAAGTCATACGTGCACTGTACCAATTATCTCTTCAATGCACCTTTCTGCCTACGAGACCTTTCTTCGAGCAATTTTCAAATCATACTACCAGCTCGGACCAGGACGCGGGAAGAAGGACCGGACGCACATGGAAGGAAGGAGGGACTGAAGGAAGGAAGGGTGCGAGCATGCTGGGTTCATGGTTTTGGTCTTTTGGTTTGCAAGATTCAGCAATTCGTTCTGAGTCTCGGGTGGTCCAACACAGCTGAGGAAGCTCTGATGGCTTAGCGGAAGTCGCGACTACTGTGCTCATACATAGCTGGTGGGAAAGCTCTGGCATTGATGGGTTGGCAGCGGCTCAAATGCTTAGCGCCGAAAAGACAGTACTCGGTTCCGATGTCTATGGATCGCGAAGCTACGTAGTTTGCGTATCAACACGCCTTAAGCCCGCTTTCCGGCTTGAAACTGAAGCCCAAGCCCTGTACGGAATGCTCAACAAGAAGCTTCACGCACAAAAACGAGATTGACCTGAATAGAACGTGAGCTTTGCGAGCCACCTTTCTCGCAAGCGCTGATTGCTGCATTGCAACCTGAGCACAGCTCAGCTTTGGTTCAGGTGCAGATCTGTACTTCATGTGGCATGCATGTCTGAGTTCTCATTTCATTCGCTAGAAGTCCTTAGCAGTCGTGCAGAACTTAGAACCTCTAGTCCTGACAAGATCGGTGACAACCTGCCGCTAGAAAGCCCCAAAGCCTGCAAATCCCAACTCTGATTCGCCCAGAAGTACATGACAATCGTTCAGGGTTTACATGAATCCAAACCCCTTTCGCGATGTTCTCTTTGTTTTGTGCTGTTTTCGGAATACGATTCAAGGAGGGCTTTACACGTATGATAAGGCTTTGCACGGTCTACTACGGGCTCTTCATAGGGCTCTATACCTTTGAGCGTTATGGAATTTGTGAGCTTTCACGGTTTTCCCGCTGCTCGATCATTCGATTGGGGTTCGTCCACCCTTTAGAAACAGGGATCCTTTCATGCTCGCTTGAGGTCTTTGTTAGTTTGGTTGGGGTTTTCGTCTCTCCCTCTGCACGCGGCAGGCAGGGCTCCACACAAGTCTCATCCACGAGCTTATCACATCGTGCCAACCCCTCAAAACAACACACCAAGCTAAACAACAAAAGACCAAGTACAGTAACAAAACAAAGACGTTGAGGGGCCAGCTTGCTAGGGACATGTGCTCCCAGCATGTGGACTAGAGTCCGCCTGTGATCTCAATGAGAACATAAGATCGAAAAGCTTAGCTACAGCTTGGAATCACAGACAGGGGGAGGGCATGAGAGGGCTGTTTCAAAACTAAGAGTCACCTACTAAAATTCAGCACCTAACCTGCAGCAAATTGTAGGGTTTGCAGCAGCCAGTCAGTGCCCTGCACATCAATCTCAATCAGTAAATTCTTCTTGCATCCATACTGTAAATTCGCACATCAAAAACAGGGCGACGTCGAACCCTAACATGCAACGCAGTGGCATGCAGTGTCATGTAAGCAGAAAGCTTCGGCAACTCGTGGTCATGCTGCAGGCAAGCGATGTTGGTGATGTGACTTCACTGCCGATGTGACTTCGTGTCCTCGAATATATTTGCAGAACCAACAAGCCGAGTTCGTGACAGTGCCCCATCCCAAGGGCAGCTGCAGGAAACGAATATCTGACAGGGTGTACGAAAGGGCTCCAGTACATGCCATGGCCTGAACGGGCTTAGCAGTTCTATACAGCCCGTTTATTGCTAAAGCAAATACATGGGCCCATGTGTTTAAGATCATAAATCTCTTCTTTGGCAGTCGCCCTTTCATATCCCCGTTAGTGTATTTCCAAAAACTGCGCAAACCCTAAACCGCTCATATCTTGTCGCTTCTCCGAACTGGGGTCGGTTTAGGGTTGGAGAGCGGCCTGTCGTACAAGAGCTATGCTCGCCCGTGGGGTAGGAGCCAGAAGCAAACTCATCCTTGGCTGTTTGGAATTCTACTAAGCCCCTACAAAGCCCTAAACACTCGCAGCCAAAACACTGATCTCATCTGGCATCAGTTCGTTCTGCTCCAATCGAGCCCTGGCTGCACGTATTGGAGTGTCAAATTCGTCAGAATCGGGCTCCTCTAAACCTTAAACTAGCGACTAAACCCACAAATTCTGGGGCTTGAGGTTTGCAGCCGCTGTGGCTTCCCTGGTTGACCGGCGGCTTGCGTGGCTTACCGCAGCATGCATCACCACAGAAGGAATGAAGGCTTATAGAGCTTAGAAGTAGCACATACCTATGCACTTCTGTTTTAGTAGAAACAACCTAGGTACTACCATTACACGAAGGAAACATCAAAACTGATCAAAGCATGTCCGCACAGCACTTCGGGCTTTGAGACGGGTCCAGATCTTCATCGCAGCTGTCCATGCTTTCCACCCTGAACTGGATGACTCCGAAAAGCAGAATGTAGGGGCCTTAATGATTAGAATAGGGTTTTGAGGCCCATTATACTATAACTATAATAAGTTAAGGAACCCCAAAACAGTATAGGTCAGTATTTAGGCCCCTACAGTTTGAGGCATCCTGTTTCACCGAGCCCCCTGGCGAAAGGCAACAAACAAGGACCTAGCGGCGAGGCCCTAAACTGTCCTGACCAATGCAGTCCGGTCAGGTGTTCCTCGCCCAGGATTTCTGGAGCTTAGGTGCACTTCCTCTACAGCCGGGGGGTTGATGGGTGGAGTGCGCTTGGAAGCAAGATCCTGCTCGCCAGCCTTTTTGCAAAGCCCTCTACTTCAAGGTTCATGGAGACAATCAAGGGCCAGGAAGTCTAGGTGAAGTACCCGTGGGTCTCTCGCTGCTTGCCGCTACCACCACATGTGACACTCAGCCCACAGGTACTTGTAAACCTTCGAACCAGGGCTTCGGGCTCAGGGTTTAAGGCAACCCTAAACCCCCGAAACCCCTAAACCACAAACCCCAGGTTTAGAGAAAACATGTCCATGGTGCAGAAAGGCCAAGGCCAGTTGCCACTGCTGCCCTGCAAAGGATTGCGAGAGTGGGAGGAGAAGGCTCTGGCTTTAGGTGTTTTGGGTGAGCTTTCCAAGTCTCTAAACCTGGGGTTAGGGGTTTAGGGGTTATGGTTTGGGGGTTTTTTGACACTCACACTCGGACAAGCCTGGCAAGGTCTGTAGATATAGGTTCGACGAAACTACTTGGTCTTCCTGAGTTGTAGGTGTCACAAACTCAGGTGGCTGTCAGACAAGATCCGAGAAAGGCCTACCAGCAAGTGTACAAGCATAACACGTGATCGCAACTGACAGCAGTCCCCCAAAGCGCAAACGCTAAACCAATTAAACCCCACGACCTAGTTGGGCTCTCTGAGGGACCAGTGAAACACAGACTGATAACTAGTGGCACACTCCTCAACCGGCGCGTATCAGAACCCCATGCTGTCCCCATGCAGAAAGAAAGGTGTTGTTGGCTCCATGCACGTAGCAGCTTGCAGGACGGTGGCAAATGTCTGCATATGTCCAGGCAGGTCACGGCAAAACAGTTTGTGTAAATTCATCTCCAGAGTATCCAGAAGCACACTCCCATGCTGAGGCATGCACATACATGCAGACACAGACATCCAACCGCACATGTCTGTCGGTAGTATACATCGGCCTAGGCCTCGAAACATCCAATCGTCATGCAGAATATGTAGTCCCAAAGGCGCATTCGTGTTGTAAGGACCAAGTATGTAGGCAGGCCCATAACGGATTACAAGCATGAAGACTCTCATGCAGACTTCCAATGCATAATCATGCAGTGCAGCGAAACGAAGAGGTTCCATGCATAGTTTCCATACTCCAGCGCATCCCATCAGAGGGAAGAGTATATTCCAGAATTCATCCATGCAATCAGCGAGTGTGCCGACTCCCATGCAGACTTCCGATGAATAACCATGCAGTAACCATGCAGTGCCACGAAATCAAGAGGTTCCATGCATAGTTTATTCCAGAATTCACCATGCAGTCAGCCGTTCCACAAGTATCCCACATTGTCCATGGGGTTCAAATTCACCATGCAAGCACATAGAGTCAAGTAGTAGGAGAAGCAAGAAACCCACCATGCAGGCCAACGGCTGTCAGGTTCGCCCACACAGGTACTTGCACCAAAGTGCAGAAAAATCTTTCAGGTCCAGCCCTGGCAACATGCTCCTTCTGTATCATGCAGGAAAATGCACTGAAGCGCCATCCAAATTCGCTGGAATGCTATCCAGATTGGCGACCAAGGGAGTTTGGTAGCCCTGAGCTACAAGCTTCAGCATCCTTCAACTCCGTATTTGGTGGTCCCGCGGTGTCCGTGCCAAGGCAGCATCCACATACAGGTACCATGTACGGGCACGAATGCGTGCATACGTATCATGCAGGTCCATATAGAACTCCGCTGGCACTTTCCGTGCTGTCCTGAAGCGCAATTGCAAGATTTCATCGCATCTCTGTGCCAGACGCCTCCAGTAAGCAGCAACCAGCGGGAGCAGGCTCAGGTGCTCCATCCCAGGAGTGTTCCGGATGTCATCCAGAAAGCCCAATATATTCTGGGCAAACAGTCTCGGGTTCGCCGAGTCCTCCATGGTCTCGACAAATTCCTGAATTCCGATGCCATCATCCATCCATGCAGGCAGGCGTCTGCTGAGGCCAAAGGTCATGGCACAACGAATGAAGGTGAAACTAAGGTTCAGTATGTCCGGGGTCATGTTTAAGTAGAGGTTACAAAGGTAGGCATTGAACAACACTAGCAGTAGGAAGAATAGGTACAAAGAGGAACCCCAGCAGGCAAGCAGCAGCATCCATCATCAGTTCGTCAGTGTTTTACACACATCAACGATTTCTGGGTTGGTGAGTTTGGGGTGTTACTACGCCTCCTGACTGTCCATGACCTCGATCACGTCGTGGCAGTCCTTTCGAGAAGGCTGAAGCTGCAGGAATTCCTGTAGCGTGAGCTGCTTTAACCTGGGAGTTTCTTCGAGGGCTTCTTTGAGGTCGGTTTTTGAATTGATACGAAAGCCCAGATCAAGCAATTGGTCAAGGACTTCAGAGCTGAGGGACCCTAGATTGATGGTGTTAAATGCAACTAAGACGACCCGCTGTCGGGGATCAATGTGGGGAGGTACATACCCTGCATGAAGGCATTTCCGGGCATTCAGCAGATAGGGTGTGTCAATAGACACAACTCGTCCTTTGATGCGGGTTCCCAAGTGCTCCATGACAACATCCCCACAGGAATCCTGTACCCAGAGGCCTGCTCCTGGCAACGGCGGTGAAATTTGCATTACAAGGGACTGATTGCCTCCATTATTGGTATCTCGGTGAGGCCTTGACTTGCATCCCCGGAAAAGAATACAGCAAGTAAACCTGAACCTCGGGGCCACAAACGCAATCATTTTAGTGATTACAAGGGTCGTGAAGGGCATCTCAATCGAAAAGCTGAACAGACACTTTGAGTTACGCGGGTTGGACCCAGTACCGAAATATCGCGTCCCGTCTTTGGCCCCTCTTCTCAAGTAAGTGTTCGGGATCATGTTGAAAAGATTGAAGACATCCCTGGGGGTTGGAGGTTTAGGGTGCCGGAGGAGGAGAAGGGCGCGATATTCAATTGGTTTGAGGAGTGGGTCGGCGCTCAGGGCAAAGGGTGGATCAAGGGGAAGTACCTGCATAGAACTCAAAGGAAGGTAAGGGGAATATCCCGTATTCTCAACCTCAAACCCAACAGCTTCATCAGGGTCCCCTTCAGTGGGTGTTGTTTCATCATCAAGTGCCACAGGAGTGGTGACCGAGGGACCTGACAAGGCGAAGGGAAAAGCTTGCATCACAGCAACAGTGGTTCCGACCAAAAACCCAGAGTTATAACAGCTGACCCTTTAACTTCAAAAGTGCTGGGAGCCAGTATGAACATGCAGCAAACCGAGTCCTAGGAGAGGCCATGTTGTTGCTCGCAACTGTGTTTGCGGTTCTTTTTCTGGGATTTGCATGGTATCTTAAGGTCGCCTGCTAGCATTTGACACGGCCTGGAGACCATTGAGTGTTGGGACCACATCAGTTTCCAACACTGATCTCAGGTGCGAAAAGGACATCTTGACTTGCTTGAAATTCGTTTCATTATTAATTACCAAAGCCTTTGCGTGCATGGTTTGATCTTCACATGCTCTACGAATTCTTTTAAAATTCTCATCATGTGCTTCCAGTTGCTCGACGAAGTTATCCATGGAAGCTTCAACTTGAGATATGCGGTATCCCAGGTCATGCACAATGGTTTTGAATTCATCTCCAAACTGTCTGATGAGGGACTCCACATCTTCTCTTTGTCGAAGCTGTTGTGCCAGGGTTTCCCCGAGCTTGCGATCATTCATGCGCACCAGCTTGAGGATGTTGTCGCATAAATTCTCAGAAAACAAAGTTCCCTCCACAATGACCCCTGCAGTGGTGGTGTGCTGTTCCAGTGTGGAGGCCTCCAGTAGCTGAATTACCTTGAGGATCCGCTGTGTAAAGGATCGAACATGCAAATACTGACGAAGCCCAAATTCCCAGAGTCTGTGAAGGCCCCAGACCAGCAAAACTGTTACGAAGGCATACCACAGAGTTGGAACATCCATGGCTCGCGTGGGTACGGTCTCAGGAAGGCTGCTCACTACAACTAGTGACAACAGAACCTGAAAACCATCGGTGCATGCAAGCAAGTCCTGACTACAAGGGACGACAGGGCCTGAAAACCGTCAGTACATGCAAGCATGCAAAACTTCAGAGCACCTCTCAATCAATAAAGACTCTCTTTATGCTCTGGGACTCATGAGGCTCGAAGTACATTGGTGGCTGCAAGAGCCAGTATATGCAAATCCGGGTTGTCCTCCAGGGGATCATCTTCCCAAGGGGCAATCGGCGGAAGAAGACTGCACAAATTAAAAATATCACCTGGCGAAGCTTTAGCCCCAAAAATTCCCAACTCCGAGGACACGCACTGTGAAAGTATGTCCGTATGTGTCCTCAGATCCTCGCGCAGCAAGTTCATGATGTCCTGAGTATCATCCAGTCCTTGCCGTAACCTCCCTGCAGAAACTTCGTTGGCCAGGATGTACTGGAGGCTGCGAAGGAGGGGGGAGGCTTGTTGCATTCTATGCTCGAGGCGGTTTTGGGTCTGCTGGGTGGTTTCAGCAAGTCGTGAAGTGTCCTGAGCCAGGTCCACCAAAACTTGCAGCAGGTGCAAGCATCCCTGAGTAGCCCCTCGAGGCGGATGGAGGGACCCTGCCAATGAGTTCTCCGTCGCCTCAGCTGCCTCCTTATGGAGTATGAAAACAAATTCGCGAACATCCATCAGTCCTTCATGCAATGATTTCATGCACTGTGCGGCTTGTCGAAAAGCTCGAATCTCCTCCCGCACTTCGACTAGGAGAAAAGGCAATCTGACCAGTTTGCCCCAGTATGTAGTGTCAAAGGGGAGGAGAAGTCGAATCCCCAACGCAACAAGCAGGATCACAAGCACTGAATTAAGAATATGTATCCACGGGAGGGTTTCCATGATGAAAGCGCCGTAACTACCTTTCGAGAAGAACAGCTACAGTAGCTTCGGAGTTCATGACTCAATTCACACGACCACACACTACAGCACTCACAAATGCGACATGGCGAGCACACTCGGGCAGTCTTCATTTTATCGCGAGAAAACGCTCTGTCATGCAGCAAATTAGCGCCTCTGTTGGGCGGACTGCTGCTGCTGCTGAAGCACCTGTGCAGCTGCCATCACTAATGTGGTGAGGTCTGGGCTGTTCCCCTGAGTCCCGGTGGGGAGCATGGGTACAGTGGGTGTCGCAGGCAAAGTGTCAACCAAAGATATGGAGCGGGTTTCCTCCGAATTAAAACGACCTTGATCCTGGCTATCACTAGCCCGGTTGTTCTGTCTTGGGCCGTCGCTTGCACGTGAATTCTGATGTTGCCCTTGGCTATGTTGCCCTTGGCTGTCGCTTGCACGTGAATTAGAGTATTGATTATGTCCATGGTC